TCGTGGGCTGTCGAAGGGTTTTCAGCAACCCTGTGAGTAGTTTTCTTCACGAAACATATACTGCGATATCTCGAATATCGTATCAACTGAAACATTAGGCGGCCTTGGTGCAGCACAGTCAGCTGAATAACATCATAAACGAGAGGTTCTCCCGTGAAAAGCATAGGACTTCTCTTTTCGTGGAAGCCTCATTTGTTTACTTAGTGAAATGCCATTGTCACTTTGCAGGACTGAGTATCCATCTTGTTCGCATGTCTTTGTACTCGCTTTTTACTAGCTTTTGATATTTATCCCTTAGGTAATTCAACCGACGGTGCACTACAACAACTGGCCGCCAGAAGTCCAACGACTAAGTGGTCGTTCTGCCAGATGGTGCGAGGACCAATTCGTGGAGCCATCAACGGATAGCGACCCCACGACATTCAATCACAAACGCCTAAGCACAGCAGTTTCACGAAACAAACGCGGAACAGCTCCCACCCAGAAGGATGTCGATTCGGTGGAACAAATAAAGCAGATTGAAAACTATTGCGGTGGGGTGTGCATTGCAACTGAGGAGCTAAAAGACCTGTTTGTTTTGGTGATTGGCACAAAAGCGGAAAACTTTCTAATCAATCGTGACGGTGGCCTATTTCGCTCACCGCTATTGCATCCGTTCTTGTCCGTACGAATACCGAAACGGTCCTGTCTCTCGCCCATAACAACAAGTTTCAAGGTGAGTCTATCCTGGTTAAATCGACAGTCTTTACCTGAATATTTCCCTAGTTTCAACAAGAACACGTTTTCGTGATCCCTCTTCGACAGGTTAGTGCACATCTAATGGTTAAAATAGGAGAGTACTGAAATAAACAGCCCAGACTGATAACTAAATTGGCAGACGTTGAAAGAATGCAACCCAAGTTTAAGGTAGTCTAGAGGGCTGTTCGACGACTGGTTCGATCGATTCGTGTCACATGACCAAAACAGACTCAGTTTGCACGAATCGTGTTTACCAACGAGGGCTGGGATACTGCCAGGTTGTCCAAACCTAGACAGGGCAAGGCGAGAGACACAGGTCAGGTTCGAACCATGGACCTTCCGGCCAGTAGATTCGCACTCTAACCACTGAGTCATCTCGGCCAACATCTCTATGTAGTTACCTGCTAATGAATTGAAGTTTATATATGTTGTAATGCACTACTCATAAGGTTGCTGAAAACTCCTCCACAGTCACGACCGGTTTCGACCTTCCACTTCGGGCTCATCAGGGAGACGCGCAGTCCCCAAGTTTCCGTCAACCTTATGTTTTACTTGAAACCAAATTGCACGAAATTAGCGACTATACACTCATTTGCAAACTAATTTGGTTTTTCCAGAGACTCACCTGGAACCCAGCGGAATCTCTCGGTTTTGATGTTTCAAGGCAACTGAATGTGCTGCACCGTCAACCTTATGTTCCACTTGAGTAGTGCAAAATATGTATATATCGCGATATATCGAATATCGTAGCGACCGAAACATGAAGCGGCCTGATGCAGCACATTCAGTTGCCTGGGAAATGAAAACCGAGAGATTCACCTGGGTTCCAGGTGAGTCTCTCGAAAAACCAAATTAGTTTGCGAATTGAAATTTACTTCAACCGCAGATTCCCACGCTTGTTAAATTTTGTCATTCCGACCGAGGTGGATGATAATAACGTGTCAAAGCCGTAAGGCGGCCAACAACCTGACGAGGGAATTATTCAACCTGAGTTGACAACACTCGCTCTACTATCGAACCTAACGCTTTCCGCTTATGTTCAGTTTATTCAAGCCTTTTTGGTTCGTGAAAAATGAGCTGGTTCCTGTTTTTGCTTCAGCTTCAGAAGCTGTGGTGATGCGACGAGTTGATGAGAGAACCTGACTGAAAGCTCCATTCGGTCCCGAGAACCGCCTACACCAAGTCATACCAGTCTCCACAGCTCCTCTCATCACACTGCTGAAACAAATTCCTAGCCGCCTACTGATTAACGCCAAGTAGTTAAAACAGATTGTATTATAATTGGCTAGAGGGTTCGAAAATCCTCGCGTTTAGGCGATAGTACGTCGGTTCGAAAACAGTCAGTGTTAACTTCAGTCATGCTCTTCTACACTTCCACGCAATTTCCCAAAGAATTGGATTCTGTCACAAGTTAAACTGGCAGAACCATGCGATTGGATGAAATCCAATCCACAAGAACTGTTTGTGGCAATGCAGTGTGAGCTCTCCCGCCAGCCATAACTACATTTCTGTTGGGTGCGGTGGTTACTGGATAATTGTAACTGAACTAATTTCATTGGTAGTATTAAAATTTTGACCTATCGTCAGAGTGAGTTGGTGCCTGCAAGCCGAGAAACCCTGTACTGCTGTTTTATCCTTATTAGGAATGGAGAGTAGTGTGTGTAACTCACGAACCTCCAGACAGACTGGAATCCGTAATCCACGATTTATTGGTTGAGCAGCTGATCAGAAGTGTATGAATAACTCTCACTTAGACAGCTGTGCTCATTCTTCAGTCATGAAACTAATTTTTTTTACTGAAGTGTACGAGACCGACTGAATGGTCTCAGTGAAACTGTGTCCAGCTACGCCTACTGGAGTGAATTCACCTGTCAACATTAGCGTTGGTGTGATCGTAACTTTGTGGTAATCGAGTATATCTGGTACAGTGGCTTGCCGTCACAAGAAAGACGGAAAGGGACGCCAGAGGACAGAACATATGGTCTTCGTCCCTCCCTATGGTGGCCACTTTGCCTCCTCACCCCCTATAAGAGATACACAATACTCAGGAAGGGCTTCACCATTGTCCTTATTCAGAGGTTTTGCTGTGTCCGTCAAATGCACGAAACGTATTCATGGTAAGATTCATGCAATCCGACTATCAATTCCTACGTATTTGCCTTTCCTGTGCTCGAAGGCGATGGAAATACGAACAAACTGGTCTCAGGCTGCAGTTCAGTTTGACCCACAGCTAGCCGAGGTCGAAGGATGTTCAGACATCTACGAAATCGGGTTGGGCAATGTAATACTACGCCGACCATCCACGGTGAGGATACCGCTGCCGAAATGGTTCATCGAGCGAAGAAACAAGGCTCATGATAACTGGGAACAGGCCAGCACAACGGCCGGCAGTTCGGAACCGCAGGAGCCGAGTGCGCATAGTCGAACGGCGGTGTCGGATGGGACTTTCAACTATGAGCGACCATTGATGCTACTTTACCAGGTACGTTCAACCCCGGAACTAAGGTCCCGTTCCTAGTTCATGCTGTGCATGCGCGCCTGTCTTACCTCATCTAGTTAGTAACTCCACTGACTGTAGCTATCGTAAAGATATGTGAAATTTTGTAGGTGGGGCACATGCCAATGTTCAAAACGGTTACGGAATATTCAATAAAACTATTCGACACGGAAACACCCCTCTCCAAATTGGAACCAACACACAGAAGAGGCAAGGAGACTCCATCTCTTGTGGTCTCCTCTCTTTGAAGGTTTTTGTAGTAACTATCGATCGGCGAACAAGGGGACATTTCTGAAGTTGACTTAAACTTAGTTGATGGTTTGATCAAAACTGCTACTCTGCAGCAAATGGTAGATCCGTGGGGTTGACTGTATCGATTGTTGCACACATCCCGTGCAGGCTACTCATAGTGCCGCTCACAGCTTGATTAGCGATGTTTGACGATAAATCACACTATTTTTTCAAATCAAATACGACCTTATCCCATGTGTGCGCCAACATGAACGGTCTGTCACGTGATCATGTGACCAAACTCGCTGAGCTGACGTTCCATCTTTTCACATTACAGCGAGTGATGATCGTTCAGCTTAACAAATGACCGTGCGTGCCATGGCTTACGCGGACGAACCAATTGAGCACATGTCAGGTTCGAACAGATTATCACAGCTGATTAGACTGTAGTAAACAGATTAGCCTGGAATAAAACATGAGAGGGGAAAGAACTAACAAGTGTTATCGCGCCACTGTTATCTTTTGCTCATGGTTACTATCCCTGAACTTTTAAAACTACTTACAGTAGTATGTACGCTTTACGTGTCTATGCCTCTATTTCCAGCTTTTGTCCAAATGGAGATCATCAAAATCCCCCTTCATGTACCGTAGGTCCTTGAAAAAAACCTCTGAGGCAAAATTATCACTCATCACTACCAATAAAAAAACTCATTCAAATTTATAAAAGCACTGTCTCTATTGCTTAATTTTGAATTTCTGAATTTTTTTTGTTCCTGAACTGATGTAGTCATCCGGACACAGACGTCAAATTGTATGGCAAGTGGCCACTCTTGACGACATCCGGGAAGATGTGGGACGTCGCAAATCAAGATTTCAAGTTTCACGTAAGGACACTCTGAACACGCAGAAATGCAAAATCGATAATCTCTACGCGCGCCTTGGATGGAGCCACCTCACCGCGGGGATTCGTGGTGGGCCTTGGCATACGATGAAACAACCACTGTACTTTACCAAGCGGACCGCGTTCTTTGAGACCAACATATTTGGCAAGTGAGTTGTCTCCGAAAGCTTTCAAAACATTCTTGAGCATATCTAGCCAGCGGAAACAGCGATTCAACGGAAAAGAGCAAACACAAACGATTGCATCACTTAGCTCTATTCGTACCGGTGGCCCGAATAAGTTAACTGACCTTGGAGAGCTTCCGTGAACGAGAAATGTGTCAACCGTGCAAAGGATTGGTGACATGGAGAGCGATGGTTTCTGAAATTTGATTGAGGTTTCTTCACCAAGGAGCAAGGTAGTAGGGGGTTATGGAAAAATCACCAACCTGAATCACCAGTTTGTTCCTGGACTAGTCGCGTGCAAACATTCTAGAAGGTTCCGGTAAACCATTGAGAATATGCCGGGTGGCGCGTTTTTTAATTTGAGACACTTATGGCGTCAGAATGGTCTATCCCTGAGAATGAAGGGACGTGTGTATCAAGCTACAGTGCGGGGTGTTTTGTTGTATGGTTGTGAGACGTGGCCTGTTCGGGCAGCGGAACTGAGAAGTCTTCAGGTGTTCGACACTCGTTGTCTCAGAACCATAGCTCGTGTGGGTTGGTGTCAGCGAATCCGTAATGAGGCAGTTAGAAAGCGCGTTTTCGGTTGTGTAACGAGTACTTCCATTGAAGAATGTGTCCAGCACCAGAAGCTGCGTTGGTTGAGACATGTGTCACGTATGCCGAACCATCGTTTGCTGAAGAGAGTGCTGTTTTCCGTGCCCAACTCAGAGTGGCGTAAACAGAGAGGTGGCCAATCCTTGACTTGGCAGAGGGGTATGAAAGAGATCATGAAGTGCTTGGGTGCTGTCGGTGCTACTCGCGTTCCAGGATGGGGACCGCGTGATCCTCAGTGTGCCTGGTTGGAGACACTACAAGATATGGCTGCCGACCGACGTCAGTGGCGTTCTTGTTGTCAGTTTCCATCCAGATTGTCTAAGTGAATGTCTGGAGGTGTAGGCACCTCAGAATGATTGTGGAAAGCTAGCACTAAGTCCCTTCCTCGTCCATTTTTATTCTTTTCTTTACAATAAAGCTTTCAAATAAATCATGGTTGTACGGCAGTGAAGCAGTGGTGTTGAACACTGATATCATGCTGTCGATGATGATGATGATGATGATGCAGTGTGGCGAAAGGATCGTATGATCATAAGGCTTATTACATTCATTAGTATGAGGAACAAGTAAAATTGGAGAGGAACCTCAGTAGCTGACGTTATTCTTTGAAGAGATATTTAAGCGGGTAGGTCCATCATCATCACCATCAGCTGTCGTACACTGGTTAGAACTGCCACAGCTTCATTCATCAGTGATTTTGGGAAGTAGGATAGATATCTACACATTGAAGGTGGTAGCTGATATAAGTGATATGTAAATACAACAGTGTTAGTGGACTTTTGATTATGAAGATCGGGAAGGAAGCTATGCACTGAAGGCAAAAGCTCAGATGCATGAGATTAGGTGTGGATGGTTGGTAGGCTGTGGGTTGCGAGTGTTCTTATGTGTGTGTAAAGTGTGCGATCCCGGGGGCTAAGAATCATACAGAACGACTGAAGTTATCGGACTATACACAGTTCATATTCAGTAGGTAGTGCGAACAGACAGATGAGGGCAGTAGGTGCTGTTGACTGTCCGCCTGATTTATCGGCTACTTTTTATTCCAATTCATTGTGTAATGACGCAGCAGTTTATTGGACCTATTCAGCCAAAATGTGATCAGTCCTTCGTAGCACCAAGAAAATGTACCGGCAACATTGGTCATTGCCGTCTCCGTCGATGGAGAGCCCGAGATGGGACACATCAATGGCCAGAGGCATTGTCAGACATGGCCCAGTCGTACCCTCAATAGCACTCGTGCATCCAAGCTATCGCCTTTACTACACATCTCTCTTCCCAGTCTCCCCACTTAACAGTCCACCGACAGTGCTGTATTTAAGCACCGATTTATCAGCTTCCGCGCTCAATGGGCAGCTACCTACCCAAACTCCCCAATTCATAGGTGAACGAAACTGTGGCAGCTATGAAAACCGTACGACCAGTATGCGGTTCTTACACCTGACTATGATGATGATGATGACCGATTCGATCACAATCCAGATTAAAATTCGAGCGGAACTGTCCGAAATCCTCTGATGAGGTTTTTCGTTCATACCTATCAACTGGAACATACTATCCTTCGGGAAGTTGGTATCGTAGCTAGGCGGGATCGGTGCATTAAGAAAACTAACAGGAGGTATCATTTTCGAGCAGTTAGAATGGCGCTTGCATGCATCGTTGTTCTACTGACCGCATCCCTGTCTACTCAGATTTGTCCTGATTGGAGCACGTGATCCGGAACGCACACCTGCAAACAAGCTGGCGCACTTGATGACGCGGGTTGAGGCACTGGCTTTCGCACCTCCCGGGGCTCTGATGATTTTTTTGCAATTACAACCAAACTGTTGGCGTATCATGGCTAACATCTACCCAGAAGAACATTTGGCCGATGCAGTGCAAGAACAAATCCATGCTGGATTCATCCCATTGGTTCAGGTTTGTGTATTCTCGGTATTTTTACGAAAGCGTCACCTTTCCACAAGTAGTTGGACTATGAGCTGCGTCTGTCGGAATAAGAAATGCCACTCGACGACATAATGAAGCTAAAACTGATTGGGCTACATAGTGACAATTCGGTTGAGGCTTTTTTCCATCTCCAATTAAAATGCACTGACGTTAGCTGTTGCTTGTCTGTAAATAACCAGAATGTTTCGTTCGAATAATCGTTGGTCGTTCCGGACAATGAGACTTTACTACTTGGTTCTCTCAACTTTGACTGATTTACACCACACCTTTTTTCTGTTTGGTTTTTTGGCCCTACGTGCGCACATTTGGATCCACCCACGCACTCCGGCGTACCACATTCACTCACGCACGCGTGGGCGCGCTGGACCAGCTGTCTGATTATCACTCACTTTTAAGCTTGCCTGTCAGTCGATCGCAGTTCGGTATCATTTGATCGATCGTTGGGAAAGTTCGGTTGGGAACTGCATTCAATCAACCCGGTTTTGATAGCCCGATTTTTGCGAATTCTAATCGTGGGAATCTGGCTCCACGAACCAGATGTCCAGTTGCCGAGCGCTTTGATCGCTCGTTACCAGTTTGTGAGAATTTCTTGTGGAGCTTTATGCTTTAAATAGCTTACTACTCAGAACTGGTACACGGACCTTAGGTCCACCAAAAGGACCGAAAAACTAAGAAGCTGTGGGTTTGGAACGTCCGCAATGCTGGAGTGATTATACGTCGGAAAAAATTGTCCGCCTGCTCATCCTCATCCTTTAGATCGATATGGGGCGATCGAACACCTGGATGATTGTTCCCGACTATTCTCTACCGCGTAGCGCTTCCATCAAGAGGCTGGTACTGCTGGTGCACTCAATTTTAGACGCGATTCGTGTTCTGCAAGTTTCAATTTTGGGAGATTCAGGACACAGACCATAAAATTCGAAGCTCTTCCCTCTTGCCACCCTGGCAAGTGACGCAGCTGACGAACTACACTGATGTGCATAAATATACGTCAGTGGTATTTGTCCTTGCGAAATGCACATGTTACAAGTGGTGGCCTTGTTGTCTGGCCCGGAAAACGCCCATCTAAATTGGCGGCTATACATCAGAAACTTAACATCAACTTAACAACTTAACTTACATCAGAAACTTAACTCACTACCCGGTGGATGTTGGATAACTCTTAACTAGTGAAACGCGACAACTAAACCACACACTGAACTTGTCATACCAGGGGATTTTTGCGCAACAATATAAACTGATGGAAGAACTCGGAAAGATCCAAGCCCAAATGCCTAGAAGAACAAGGTCCACAAGTGAAATGATGCTATCTACACGCGAGTTCCTAGGCGTTTGCACGACAATCAACATGTTAACTACGAGCGGCGCCCCAGTTAGTTGTCCGAACAAGGTCAAATGGGGAGACCGTCTCTCGGAACCCAAAGAAGGACGCTAGCCACACAGCCCAAGATTAGGCTAGGACATTGAGCTGTTGCACAGAACCGCCTGATCGGATGAAACATCGCCAGGAGTCCCAGAAAAAAGTCATTTGGAATAGATCCTACCGGTGTCCCCTAAAAAGGTGAAATATTTTCACAGATTACAGCAGCACAACATGCTGCTGTGGCCTGCGTTCTCGCTTTTTGGGAAGGCTTTGTTCCAAAACAGTTGGCCTGCGTTCTCGCTTTTTGGGAAGGCTTGACCAGCTGCGGCTGTAGGCAACACGGACTCAATGAATACGCTGCAGACAGGTCGCCTCATGTTTCAGTTGGCACGATATTCGAGATATCGCAGTAGATGCTTTCATAAAGGAAACTCACAAGGTTGCTGAAGACTCTTCGACATCCCACGACCGGTTTCGCCCTTCTTGGGGCTCATCGGGTAGATGCAGTTCCCGAGTTTCTGTCAACCTCATGTTCTACTTGAACCCAAATTGGACTGTTTCCGAGAAATACACTCATTTGCAAATCAGTTTGGTTTTCACGAAAGACTCAACTAAATCTCTCGTTTGTTAAGAACATAAGGTTGACGGAAACTCGGGGACTGCGCCTATCTGATGAGTCTGAAGTGGGAGAGCGAAACCGGTCGTGGGCTGTCGAAGAGATTTCAGCAATCTCCAACCGAATGTGCTGCACACAGGCCGCCTCATGTTCTAGTTGGCACAATATTCGAGATATCCCAATACATTCCCATCAAGCAAACTATTCAAGAAGGGTGAAATCGACCGTGGGCTGCCGAAGGGTTTTCGGCAACCTTGTGAGTAGTTTTCTTCATCAAAGGGACACGTTTTTAACACCTCATAATTACTGTACTGGTGTCATGCTAGTGAAAGGTAACTAGGTGCTTTTTCACAAAGGAAACTGCTCAAAGATCTGCTGAAAACTTCTCGACAGTCTATCACCGGTTTCACCGAGGACTGCGCCCTAAGTAGGGCAAAGCCGGTGTGGACTGCTGAGGAGGTTCTTTCCTTAGCGAAATAGCGACCAGTTTCCCTGTATGATGGATCTCCCTCGAAACCAAACTGGTCTGTAAGTGAGTGTATTTGTCGAACAACTAGATGCTTATGCCGTCCTTGAAAATCTTTGCACACTTTTAGACACGAGTCGAGTTGACATCAATACTGCGTAGAGTAGTGATGGCCGGAAGTTGATGGAAGTTTGGTACACACCTTCTTGATGGGCATAACCGGTACTGAGTTGTCAAAACGTTTACCGGAACCCAATGCGTATTGTTTTTTACAAAGTAGTACTGCTGTGAATCATACAAATTCTGCTGTTTCCAGATGGCAAATGGACTTACTCGAAGGACCGTGGGTTTGTGCAATGCCGTCATCCAAGCGGCTGACACCTTCTCGGGAAACAGTCCACAAGAGGAGCATGGAGTGAGTACTCGTGTGTCAGTTACACCTTTTAAAATTTATCTAGCCCAAGTGGTTGGAGCACAAATCTACTTACCGGAAGGTCCGTGATTCGAACCCGACCTCTGCCTCTCGACTTCACCTCTGTCTAGGCTTGGGCAACCTGGCAGTATCCAAGCGCTTGTGCTTCCTTCGTGTGGCATGGCGGTCAGGCACCGGTGAACGCAGTCAGTCATCTTCGTGTTCCTAAGGGACCCTTGTCATGAGTGATCATGCTGCGCCAACAGCACAACAGTAACGATGGTTTTCTAAGTCAAACTTCCGCCTCTCGTAGATCCCAAGTGTCAGCACAGACCTCTTTTCACATTTTCAGCATGTTTTAGCCCCCCAAAAATGTTATTCCAGGTTCTGAGAGTCTTATTCTCAGATGACAACCATAATTGGCAACAGGTAGCTCTAGAGTAGCCAGACTGGTGAACAAATTTCTCTTCGATGCTATCTTTGCCCAACCATCAGTTTGCCCTGGCTGGCTTGGAGGCGACAAACAGATGTGTATTCGACAGGTCACTTTCAGACTGGAGTTTCTCTGTTCTACTTCTCTGAAGGACCCACTCGGATAGACTCACCCAAGGCTAGTTGATATTTTACTGCATGGCATTTACTACTGCCAACAGAATTCAGCGTAAATTTGAATATTTATAGGTTTCACTTGCTTTTGAGTATCGATTCGATTGGTTCATTCGTGTCCAATTCAGGGGTTGACACAGATCTAAACCCCCTGGTCGGCGGTGACGCTTGCAACATTGAGAAGGAAATGGGGATATAGATCCCAGTCTGGGGTCCCCAAAGCAACCGCACGTCGGGATATGTCGCGGGGTGTGAAACTCTCTATATTTGTGTGAAAAATACTTGGAACCGATTGAGTAGTCATTGTTATCGAAAAAGTATGGTGACAGTCGGTAGATTTATTGCTGGGCAACGTTTCGCTTTTGACACAAAAACTTCGTTAGGCCAAGTGACTACGTTCCGAGTTTGGTCGAGATTTAAGGCGCAAGGAGAACCAATCAGGTAAGTCAAGTTAAATCTCTGTTGGGTGTCGGCCGAGGGATTTTAGTGTGTTAGAGTGGTTGAACAAGTGCAGGGTCGGTGGGGAAACCTACACGTGTTTGGATTCAGCCTAGGGTCTAGTTCTTCTGGTTTGGACCTTCTGTGCGTCTGTGTGGATGATCTAGTGCTAAGATAGTTGTGTAAGAGGGATGCTGTGACGTTTGGTCGGGTTGGGATTTCCACCCCCACCCCCAGTTTTTGCTAAAGATTCTACGTGGATTGACAACCACACCGTCACGTGTCAACCGCTTATCTAAGACCACTTTCCATACACTCGCCAGTTCCACACCCTCGATTCTATTCACGCTGTGATGCCCAGAAATCCTCGGCTATCAGCCTGTGTGGTGTGAATCGCAGTCCCCGTGCTGCCATCGCTGTCTTTGCCCAGCGTTTGGTATTCTTCTGCATTCCTTGGTGGTTTGTTTATGCTTCTTTTATGCTCACCAATTCTGGTGTGCGAACGACGTTCAAAAGGGACCATCAAATGAACCGAACCAGAAGAACTAGACCCTAGGCTGGACCCAAACACATGTAGGTTTCCCCACCGACCCAACACTTGGTCACCCACCCTAACACACAAAAATCTCTCCATATGCGTCCATAAGAAGTGTGATGAGTGGACGCGCACCACTCACGTGGGATTACCAGGAATTCGAAACTGCGGTTTTATCGATCTACCAGGTTAACCGTCCAACTAGAACTGGACTTTTGGGGAACGAATTCTTTCTAGAAAGGAAATGACTACTGAGTCTGAAAAAACAGCCACGATTGGCTTGTTCATGGAGGATTTATTAACCTCGAAGTGATCTTTTATGAAACGAAAAACAGCATGAGTTTTGTCTGGAAATTCCACACATGCGCCTTAGGCGATTTGGAGTGTTTTGGTGCAAAAGCGTCGAATGTGATGTGAGCGAAACTCGAAGGGTCTGGCTGACCTTGAACAGAAAGCTTCAAGCACATCTGCTTCATTACTATCAGCTGTAAGAACCGCGCACTTGTCGTACAATGGTTGTCGCTGCCTTAGTTTCGCTCACCGATGATTTGGGGAGGTTAGGTGGGTAGCTGCGCATTGTGGGCGGGAGCTTGCAACCGCTTGGATGAACGAGCGCCGTTGAGGACGCGTGGTGATGCGCTGAAATCGGTTGGTCAGTTTTGTCACAGCGTGAAGAAAAAGCGATAGAAAACGAAAGGTACCTGAGAATGTCCAAAATCTCACCACGAAGTTCTCATCTCGGTTGACTTTATCGGTCAATGATATACATCGTATGTCATTACAACAGTCGAACATGACTCATAGAAAAGATAGTTGTCAGGGGTCAACAGCATTTTGGATACGATACTGGCACATGCCTATAAAGTCATCAAATCATGGTTGTTGAATCAGAACGCTTTCCCTAGATGGCCCAGTGGTAGGAATACGAAATTACTGACCCGTGGGTCCGTGGTTTGAAGCCAAACCTGTCTTGGCTGGGGCACTCTGACAGTATCTGAACCTTCTTGCTTCATCCGGGTGGCGTGGCAGCTACGTACCGAAAGGGTGTTACGGCTGAAGGGCATCGTTTCCTCTTGAGAGCAGTATTGCCTAAGGTGTCTGCATTCACAGTAGTAAAAGTCTTACAAACTACGTAACTGGTGTCTTGAATGTCTACAGATTCCTAATCACATTTGTGTAATGACGGAAAGAACCAGTTGTCAGCCTCGTTTTACTAGTCCCAAGTGGCAGATCTAATGTAGGGTGTAAAATGGGCAACTTCTGTTGGGTACAACCAGGTGTTTGTTGTAGATTGGTTTGATATTGATCTGTCCGTCGAGTTTGGTAGACGTTTCTTCACCAACTGTGGGAACATCATCAGCGTGCGGTTGGTTGGTGCACGAACAACCAACTGATCTGTAATCAAATAAGGTACTCGATCTACCAGTAGTTAGATATACTGCCTAACCGCTGTGACTTCTTCTCGGTTCAGCGGGGGCTGATGCGCTGAAGGTTCGGAGCACGTTGAAAGATATCTTATTGGGAATGAGTGTAATGTAGCCGACCTGTACCGGAGCGACGAGCTTCTGTCCCGCACGGGTTCGAACCCCACTCAGACATCCGAATTGGAGTGACTCATCCAAACGAGCGAAAAAACGGGTCCGAAATTGCACACTACCTAATCTGAAAGTTTGAAGTTTAGAATCGAGAGCTGCATTCATCTAAGCAGCGTCAACTGGTTGAAGCGGTGGCTAAATTCTAACTCGTTTGGTCATACTAGTGTAGTGTATTTCCCCCAAACCAAACCAAGGCCAAATGGTGACCAGTTGGCGCGGTAACATCTGAAAGCCCAAAGAAGAGGTGTGAAATTTCCTTTGGAATAAATACCTTAGTTTTACAGATACTTTCGCTCGAAAACTGACTTTGTCAAGGGTTACACTGGTCACTTCAGCGTTAAATGAATGTCATCGTTTGAGGCATCGGGAATACCGATCACATCGCTTAAGCGTGAACACGTTCACCTGCTCAGATCTAATGATTCAGGTGCGTCCAGCGTGCATGGTACTATGCTCACCTCACATATCAGATGCCCGCAGTCCAAAGGCCGGTACGGTACACTGCTTATGAACCTTAATGAGAGTGAAACTAGTCTAGTACTTCATCAGTTTGGTTTGGACATCGAACTAATTACCGTAGGACAGGAGAGTGATGGGAATGTCGTAGGATTGACTCTGTTCAACCGAGTCTAGATGAATCGACCGATCACCTTGCTTCGTGGCTATTGTTGTGCGGAGTTCTTCATCCATTTCCGTTCATCACTCCACTTCTAGTGATATCAGTGTCCCTCTAGAGAGGAAGTCTGTCCCAGAAAGTCCGTGTACCGGGCGTATCAGCTCAGGAGACAAATTCAAGTCTTTAGCGAATATACACTCATTTGCAAACTAATTTGGTTTTTTCGAGATACTCACCTGGAACTCAGCTGAATCTCTCGTTTGTGATGTTTCCAGGCAATGTGGTTTCAAGTAGAACATAAGCTTGACCCGGAGACTACGCCTACCTGATGAGCCCCGAAATAGGCGAAACCGGTCGTGGGCTGTCGACGGATTTTCAGCAGCCTTATGAGTAGTGCATTACAAATAAATTCAAGTCTTCTTTGCACACGCCCATTGTTCGACAGTAGTCCAGATAACACAGTACCATCTTACGCAACTGTCTAGCAGGCGCGATTCCTATTATACCAGTCTGAGAACTAGAAACTTGGAGATAACTGGCGAGGTGCCGAAATGGTGTTAGTCTGACCTCAGTCGTCACCTCAGATCGTCGAATTCCAACGCAATCGCCTGCGAAGACTCATAAGTCTTTAAGACAAACGTTTGATGGGCCATTCTGAGCCCGACGTTCAGGTAGGCGTAAAACCAATAAGAGCCATTTAACGCGGTCGTGTTGCCACCCACAAAGACCAGATGAAAGAAAAACCTACCTGGGACATCGTTAAATGTAAAGTGTAACAGTGGTGTCGTGTGATGTCGAACATGATGTGTGAGCTGCATCGTTTTATCCATGTGTATACACATCAGCCCAGATAGTTATCGTATAATTTCTTCATCAAACTGCCGTTTGAATGAACTAATTGTTTTTTTTCATTCCTGAACTGTGGTCATGAGCATAAGTCAGCGTGATGACCATTCCAATCGTTTTGAGGGTTGGTTAGTTTGAAGGGTATCATTGGTGCTTCCGTGCTTCGACCTTGACATAGTGATGAAAAAGTGGCCAATGAGGAAGTTCAGAGTAAACCCATGGAAGAACTGTTTCTTATTATGGAGCATCTCCCCTAGAAGGATTACTTTTCTATTATCGAAAATAAATAATTGTTTCAAACTGTCTCTTCTCCTTTCTATTCCAAAGAAAATCCGGAAGATCCGTCCATACCGCGTCAATGGAACCGATATCAATCACGTGCTGATGTATAGCGGTCTGTGCCTTGAGTTTCGATTCACTGGAGACGTGCGCATGCGGACCACCAGTCATTTTGAGCCACTGTCCCATGCATTGCGGAATATGAAATTGCCTGAATCTGACGGAGAACAGGGACGTTTGGGAAAACGGGACGCCTCTTTGAGTTTACTGGACGATCAACGACGAAAAGATTCGACGCCCGTCAAGCGAGATATTTCTTCGTTACTCACAAATACAGCCTGCTTGCAACAGCATGAACTTCTGCATGAGACTGCCTGTGTAGTGGAAATCGAGCCGATAATGAACGAGGAAGCCAAATACTGGAGGAAAAGTCAGGAAAAGTTGGTGTTTCTTCCACTTGCAATGTCTACGTCAGGTTTCAAAATTGAGTCTTTTTTCTTAGATAGTTTCCAGACCAATGTCTTTGATTGGCTTTATTTATCGTCCTCTCTCCTGCTTCAGTGAATACCATATTGACCTATTCGACTGATTGATCCAGCGAAAGTACAGCTGCAGAGGATAGGCGAATCACACGGGCCACCATAGGAAAGTTCATGTTATTTGTCGGTCACACGTGCACGTGTATTGAGTAAAGTGACATCGCATTACCTGCACTTTTACCACGATACATGGCTTCCCACACTGGTGACAGTGTTTACTGATAACGACGATGGTGACAGCCTTGCAAAATGGCTTCCTTGCTCTGCTTGGCCGACGACAACGTCAACTAAAGTTGTTATGGTATCACCCCTGTTGTGGACTTACATTCGGGTGAAATGATATGCAAGCACCCCTGGGTCCAAGAGATAGGCTACAGGTGGCAGTGCATCACTGCCTCGTTAACTAGGAATAAGAGACCTGAAAATCTGGTGTGCACTGCCCTGACTCACCAACACCAATCATTTTAACACCTTGTTCTTCTACTCAGATCCCAGTTTGTCACGGAACTTATACGTAACGCACTCAAGAAGCAAGAAAACTCCGAGGAATTTGACGATGACGATTCGAGCAGTGACGACAATGGGGGTCGACGGAGCTCGTTAAGTGAATCACAACCGCCCATCCCGTATCAGGGAGATGATACAGAAGTGGATGATATTGTTCGAGAAGCTCAGGAAATGGTGATCCGGGACCAGCCTCTTCCAGTGACTGCCATCAACTCCGAACTTTCCCGGCGTTTGTTCAACGTGATGGAAAAGAACAAAATAAATCGTAAGTGGGAGATCGCATTTCATTAACTCACTCAGCACTTGGCCGTAGAAGATTTAAATCATTCCGATACTAAACCATTGCTCAAACTGGAAGAGAAGTCGGAAAGCGATGGAGGGCCATGGGGTCTGTTGAGGAACCCAGTAATAAGGATAAATCGACGATAATAATCGTTCAACTGTAGGATTCTTTTTTTACTTCACTGCCAAGCCACCCGAAAAAAACAAGGGCTCAGATACTATTAGGGCACAGGTGATGATAATCATAATACAAATCAGAAGGTGAATGTGCACTAATAGAAGTTTTCGTATGGTTGCGATACGTATGAAAATAAATACAGCGCGAGGATGGGAGCAAGTCAAAAGGAGAACTTATCGGATGCGAGAGTCCTTTGGTGGAAGTCCGGACGGCGGGAACGTGTTTTTCTCCGCAGTTCGACTGCTACACGTACTCCATGATTGTCCGTGGACTTGTGGAGAGGTTGACGTCCTGCTCCCTGCGCGCGCGAGTCTGTGTGTGTTGACTGGATTCGGTTTGCCTTTATGTAGGTCCCAGTGCGTGTATGTGGGCGCGTCGGCACATGAGTGGTAGCTGCGCTGACTAGGCGGTGCAGACAATCGATGTCCGATGAGTCAGCTTAATGCGACGTGTTTGTGCGTATGAGAAAAAAGACAAGCCTCGCGATCCAGTGAGCGACTATGAGTTGAACAGTCAAGTGTGTGGGTGACTGGGTCGCTACAATACTGCTAAGTTTCCTAAGTCTAGACAGGATCAGTCAAGTTGCTGGAGTTGGGATCGCACCGCGGACTTTCCGGTCAGAAAATTCACGTCCCAACCAGGGTATGAATCGTCAAATCAGTAAACCAAACCGAAAACGAAAATGCGACTGTTCCAGTCTTGACCCGGTTACTACTGGAAGCACACAATTTACAAAAGCCCCTAAATTTACTCGACCCGTAGCACAATCTACAGTCTGATTATTGGAACGGCAAAATCCGGTTGGTCAAGAGAGACAGCTTCCAAGCAAAATGCAAAAGAGCGCTCTCCGTTAGCGATGAGTCAGTGGGGAATTTCACCCCAGAGACTCCTTGCCCATCGAGTGTTCCACTGTGCTGCTTCGGTGTGTCAGAGTTTGCGCGTGTGCGTGTCCGTTCGTCGTTCCACCATCGATCTGGCGTGTGACTTGAGTGGCTGATTGGCTGCGTGTCCGATTGATTGGCTCACGTGAGCGCTGTGAGTTGATCGGATATGTGCTCAATTGTTTGCTGACCCGCCACGAAAGCGGACCAGCTGGCCGCGTGTACACAATACACCCGTGTCCCTAATTACGTGTTTTTCTGACTTACTGAGAACTAAATTACGCCAAAACCTTCGAAATTACTGCTTCCAGCACATACATGAGGCATGAATCTATCCACAGCTATTCAGCACAACACGGGTGCCATTTCCGGCTACTTGGCGCTTACGACCAAGCGCACCAGGCTATCAATCAGCTATCCTGACCGGGGTTCCCGCTAATAAGAAGGCATTAAGGGACTGTGGTCCACCACAAAAATAAGGTCCGTTAATTCATATAAACCAGAGCGAGTGCGACGGGACTGCCAAATAGTTTGAACACAAAATGAGGAGTGATCAATAAAGCTTCAACAAACTTCACAACAGTGAAAAAGAAAACGTATTGGATGGTTCCAGTGGGCCTCCTTCCTGTGTTATTCGATAAACACCATTCTTAAGACGTTGGGCGTGGAAAACACTGAAAGCTAACGTGGGTAGTTCTTCCATAATAACACGACATCTCCCAGGTGAGTTAGTTATGGGCGTAAAGCTGGAACACGGAGATAGACAGGTTTGCGCCAAACTCAAACAACGAACACTTATGGCACGAAGTGCCTTGAAAAATGTTTGGATCCTGACAACACAGGGTTTGAAGAACTGGCTACTGGAAAGACCAGGAACTCCAAATTGAGGGCTTTAGAAAAAAGAGAGAACCCTGAGTCAAGAAGGCGAAATGTACCTTTTAACTGTCGGAACCGCTGAGTTGCCTCATCACTGGTCATTCCAGCGACACAACAGGGGCAAGGAAACAGACGCCCAAAATCAAGAAACAGTACAAAAAGGGACCAAGAAAAGTAATAAAAAACAAAGTGTTAGAGTATGGAATCACCGGTAGTTCGTACTAAATGGTAGTGCACATGTTTTTCCAATATACAAGAAGGTGAGTTGCGGATTAGTACAGATAAGGGGAAGCTCAAGGTCGAATACCACCTGTAGGAAAACGTATAAAATCACAAGCAACGAGGTGGGTTAAAATGATCACCAATTCAGTGAAGAGCTGGATGATTTCAGAAATGGACTGTTCTCCGGCGAACAATTTTGTTCTGTAACCGAGGATTGAACATGGATAGGAACGGCTAGAACTGATTTCCAAGAAAGCATATAGTTTCCGTGGTTAGGCCATGTTCCCGCTCTCCACTTGGACCTCACTGGTCATGCACATCATGAGTGTCCCTCTGAACAAGGCGACTGTCATGCCGAGATGAGATCGCCCTCCACAAATTTAACTTCGTAACCAAACGGTGGAGATTTCAAAATGGATGGAGATAGCTAACCGTTACTGAAGAGTTGTAATTACGACCAAGAACGCCTCTCAAAGCATGCTGCGTTCCACCTAAATTGGTCTTGACAGTCAGTCACAACCGTGAGTTAGGATTTCTTCACAAAGATAGTTTGCAGTCCGAGGTAGCTGTACCGAAGTTCCCAGAAAAAACGCCGTTGTCCACAAGGCCGACGAGTTCGATGCGGATAATATCATATGTTGAAGTTGGGCTGTTCTGGAGACAGGATAGTTTGCTCTCCGAGACAATCCGTGATTCTCTTGTGACCTTCATAACTTTACAAATTCACCGGCAGTTGAGGGGATCTGCAGCGTTATCACATTTGTATATGGGCCTGCTAATTTTGCTCTCACAGACCTTTTCACGAGAGAGAAACCACCCACGAGTTTGGCAGTGAGTTTAAAACCTTGGGATGACGGGTGTAACACGAGCTTGCTACGTGAAGACTGTGGAATGAAAATCATTAAGGACAACTTCGTAATATGAGACACGGAATTAGGCTTTATTGTATAGTTCTTGCCTCCATTCTCGTTGAAGAAACACTCAAATAAAGTTGGGAGTAGAGTGCCACGTTTTACTCCACACGGTTCTACAGCACGCTCCTTACAAACCTTGTTTGTAAGACTATTTGTATTAGTAATGATACTCGTTCGGCCGTAACACCCTTTCGGTTCCTAGTTGCCAAGCCACTCGAAGAAAGTACGAGGGCTGAGATACTGCCAGGTTGTCCCAGCCTAGGTATGTTCAGGGTTCGAACCAGGAACCTTCCAGCAATTAAGTTCGCGCTTTAAACACTCGGTTATCTCACTTGTTACTAAGACTGGTGTAGGGAGGCTAGTGCGTCAGGAAACAGGTTTCGCGGGTGATTCAAAAGCAAGCCAGTGTGGATGGAGTCATGGTTTGAATTTCTGCTTCCAACATTTTCGCACGTGACGCCGCCTTTACCGCCACCCTTTGATTGGTGGGTCAGTCCATCCGGTGGAACTAGATAGATCTCACAAGATTGTGTCCTTTAGTGTCGTTGTCATCGTAATAAAAACTAGTGGATATCAGAAACATGAACGAGCTCGTTAAGACAGCGGGTTAGGTAATCGATCTCACCGTCCTCGGAGTTCAAACCATTCAAAAAGTCATTAAAAACAGCGCATATTTCAAAATGTTGTCGGTATGTTCAACCAAAATTTGTATGATGACTTCCTCCGTACTATCAATTTCCATCTGGGCACCTTTTGTTTTTGCAGGTTCCTCGGCCTTTCTCCAAAAGGTTCACGATATGTATCATGCTGGCACTGTGGAAGTTTGGCTCGTACCTCCAAAAACCCTATCTCAACTTGCGATACCCAAAGAACCGGCGAGCGAGGTGGCACCAAAAACCGATGCATTCTCCACAATCGGATCGGAAGCCGGTCAGGCCATCTCGGGTTCGGAAACTGCTGTTCAAGAGGAACAGTCGGGAGAAATAGCTGAGGGTGAACACCAAGATGCCGATGAGCAATCTCCGGATTACAACAATGAAGAAACACACAACGCAATTCGATGGAATCCAGTTGGTCCGGCAGCGAACACTGATGGCAAATCTGTCCATTTACCCGAGATGGTACAACACGCGAACAAGCCACTGGCGGTGTACAATGTACGTTCTACTGAGCAAATATGTATGCCCTTTGCCATTGCTGATCATCCGCTCGTTGCCAAATCTTCAAGAGTTCAAACACCGGCCAGAAGATCTCTGGTTCTTGGGTCTCCTGAAATGCGCACTTGACAAGGATGAGATATTTGTAAAGTGCTTCTTGGCTCTTCAGTACCGTTCCTGGGCCACCGGAAGGATGCACGTACGCTGGGTTTCACTCACCTGATCAAATCTCTATTGAAAGTAGAACACAGGTTTTCCAAATATCATATTCAATGAAAAACAAAGTCTACTTTTAGAATAGCAGGCAACGAAGAAAAAAGCAATGGTACAAAGTTAGTGCAATCGCACTCAAATCGCATGTTTTTCTTTTTCAAACAGCCAATAATGCTCGTTCTTTTCCGAGGGCAATCGGATGAGTCAACCTTTAGTCCACACTATCCATACTAAACTGGGGAGTGTCCCCTTGATACTCACAGAGTCTGTCATACCAGGTTGGTCAATGGTTAGAGGTCTGACGAACACAGTCTCCTGGCCCTCCAGTTGGAACATGTATGGCGACTTGTTCCGTAGAAATGGTAATGCGTTTGCATTTTCCGCCAAACACCGCTGCCTTGCGGTTACTAGGCTTTTGAGCCAAAGGCTTTGGTTGAGGATCCTGATCGCCCTCCTGTCTAGGTGTGGGCGCCCTGGCAGTATCCCAGCCCTCGTACAACCATGACACTCTACGGCAGTGAAGCATCGGTGCTGAAAACCGATGTCATGCTGTCGATGATGATGATGATCTGTTTACGCGCAATAAAGTCGGTTACTGCCTAACGGCTATCCGTTCCCATACGCCAACCGAAGCTGACCCGTGTGCAAAAGTTGACTGGCACAGCCTTACGATCGGCAGTATTCTTTTCAGAGTGCTTCTTGACCTCATAATGACCCTTAGATTTTTCTGAGCGCAGAGGACAGGCTTAAGACGACTGATCAATGTGGCCTCAAGGAAATTCAACCTCCGTCGCAGACACGGGACGACGAGTTGTGTGATCGACTCTGTGACCTTTGTCAATTAGATCCACACAACTGAATGGTTTGCACCTGGATTCGATCAGCGTTTGATTAGGGTCAGCTGATGTGGTACGACGTGCTCCCGTTTCAAGCCCCTCTGGCAGTTCTACCGATGAATTTATCAACGCAGCTGCAGGTGAACGGATACACGTAAAGAATTGTAGATAAGACGGAAATTGGCATTTTGATATCCCCGAGGGGAGGCAATAAGATCATTTGAGAAATTAGCATCACGGAAGCACCTGAGATCAGCTGACCTTGACTTCATTTTTCCCCGAGTACATGCTTTGGTTGCTAGTGTTATGATCATCTCTTTCCAACTTGTTGTGAAACAGATACTGATCGATCCTGACCTGGCACTAAGCTACGTGAGAATACCTGTGGCACGAAGTACAATATCTCCAATGAACCAGAAGAAAGGAGGGCACGGAACGTCTCGGTCATCCGGTCGTTCCCCTAAAAGAAGACAACGAAATGTTAGCGCGACTGGAACGCGGAGGGCAGCGGCTTCGGTGGTGAAGGCAACTCCCGTGCACTCCTACTCTGCAGACAGTGAATCTAGGAGTATGAGAGACGAAGTGAAAAGCCGGTCAAACTCGCCGAGTAAGTTAACTGAAAAGTATAAAGTGAACGTTGGAAAAACAAAGCCGCTTCACACATAGATGTTAGTAGGAATTCACTGCCTGAAACAGGTGCAAGTATTAGTTACAGAAATTCACACCCAAATTTGTGGCGGGATCTATCAAATGGCTTCCGAAAGGAAAGTATAAATGATACTAGCAAAATACACTCATTTGCAAACTAATTTGGTCTTACGAGAGACTCACATGGAACTCAGCTGAATCCCTCGTTTACGATGTTTCTAAGCAACCGAATGTGCTGCACCAGGCGGCCTCATGTTTCAGTTGGAACGATATTTGTGATACATGTATGGAGGTAGTACACTACTCGTGGGGATGCTGAAAATTCCTCAACAGGCCAAGACCAGTTTCGCCCTTCTTGAGACTCGTAAACGAGAGATTCAGCTGGGTTCTAGGCGAGTCTCCCGAAAAACCAAAAATGTTTGCAAATGAGTGTACTTCGCTCATTTCATGCAGTCTGGTTTCAAGGTTGATGGAAACTTGGGGACTGCGCCTACCTGATGGGCGAAAGCGGTTGTGGGGTGTCGAACAATTTTCAGAAACCTTATGAGTCTATGAATATTACTGTTCATACATTCATGACGATACCTTTTGTGCGAAGAATTCCTTGCTGGGACTACTTGGAACGAAAAGTCCGAGAAAGATAACACTTCCCAGAGGGATCCGCTGTTACAAAAGGACAGATTGTCTCCGCAGCGGGATCCATAGAAGTGAGAATGACACAGTCCGCAGCTTACTCGAAACTCATAAATCTCTTCCATCCCTTTTCCATTAAATGAGAAAGGAGAATCTTAAGGGACGTGTGTATCAAGCTACATTACGGGCTGTCTTGTTGTATGGCTGTGAAACAGTCTATTCGAGCAGCGGAACCGAGACATCTTCAGGTGTTTGACAATCGTTGCCTCAGAATCAAAGCTCGTGTCGGCGAATCCGCAACGAGGCTGTTAGAAAGCGCGTTTTCGGTTGTGCACCGGGTACTTCCATAGAAAAATGTGTCCAGCACCAGAAGCTGCGTTGGTTGGGACATGTATTGCGTAGGCCTAGCAATCGTTTGCCGAAGAGAGTGCTGTTTTCCATGCCCAATTCGGAGTGGCGTAAACAGAGAGGTGGCCAACCCTTGACTTGGCAGAGGAGTATGAAGGAGATCAGAAACGCTTGGGTGCTGTCGGTGCTAATCACCTTCCGGGATAGGCGCCTCGTGATCCTCACCATGCCTGGTTGGAGACACTACAAGATATGGCTGCCGACCGACGTCAGTTCCGTTCTTGTTGTCAGTTTCCATCCAGATTGCCCAAGTGAATGTCTGGAGGTGTAGGCACCTCAGAATGATTGTGGGAAGCTAGCACTATGTCCCTTCCCCGTCCACCTTTACTCTTTTCTTTACAATAAGGCTTTCAAATAAGTCATGGTTGTACAGCATTGAAGCATCAGTGTTGAACACTGATGTCATGCTGTCGATGATGATGAGAAAGAGCTTAACGCAATATGTAGTTTACTTCTTTGGCCAGGTTATAGCTCTTCCAGGAAAGAAACGCTTTTACCATCACTTTTGTTTTGTTGATGGCTCGAAATAAAAAAAATTGCCAACAAATTTGTCCAACATGCTGGGCAATTCGATGAGGCAATGATTACAAATGACTGGAAGCCAAATATCATCGATTATGAACGCTAAGGTCGTGGATGTTGATGAAGGATTAACCGGAAAAGACAGATGTGTGTGTGTGTGTATGTGCGAAAACCCAATGCTCAGGTGACAGTCCTTTGTGGTAGTGGACCAAGTTGCATAAGTAGTGAGTCAAAACTGGTATTACTACACAAAGAAAATAATCGGTGTAAATACCACTCTCTATCTTTCCGACCTAGTGATCGATGAGCTACGCAACTTGACAAAGCCACTGATGCAGTCACTGGCTGGATATATTCGTGAACCGGAAAAATTACTCTCAGCACTTGGTCTGCCTCAAGAGGAATCCGATCGGATTCGAGCGCGAATAGCTCAACCAAACGAGTCTTCGCCCAACCGCATTGCGTACGAAACAATCAAGACCTGGAAGTCATGTTACATGAACCGGCGAATTCAACTTGTTGCGTCCAGGTGTGGCAGCACAACTGCTGGTGACAACAGGTCCGAAACGACAGGAAGACGCTCACCACTGAACGATTTGATGGATGTCCTTCAGTCTTTGGGCTATTTCGAGGCGGCGGAACTAGTCAGCCAAATCAAACTCGAGGATACAGACGATGTTGACGATGCGTAAGAATTGGCCAACAGCGTGCTTTTCTGTAAATACATGCCAGTTTATTTTGTTTAACCCGTGTTTTTCCCCCTTAGATATGGGGTGATTTGGTTCTATCGAGGTCAAAATCCGTAGATCGGATATGGCAGGGTTTTGCGTCCTGACAAGTTGCTCCAACGATGGTTGTACTTTGTAGGCGAATTTTTTCGAGAAAGGGCTATAGTCACATGCAACTAACGTGCACTTTCCTGTTGAATAATCGCCTAGATCCGTTAGTTTACATTTTGATGGTGCTAAATGGATCATAGGGGGAAACGTTGCTGGTTCGGGGGTTGTCTGTTCGCTGAGCTTAGCGATTCCGTTGCAAACGTTTCGTCGCCATTCGAAGTGCGCCTTCAGAGCGACGCAACGCTGATGACGAAACGTTTGCAACTGCCAAGCTCAGTGAACAGAACACTAGCCAGAAATCCGGCGAAACACGGGTACCTCGTCAGTTTTTGTTGGCAAGGCTGAGAAAAGTCAAGTTGCCCGGGTCATAATCGGGGAAGCCGATCAGATAAACAGTTATTTTCGTCTGATGCAAGCCAAAATCTTGTTGTGCACTTTTCAGCCTTGGGTTGAATGAAATCGAAGACTGAGCTGCTGTATCTTGAGACGAACTCAATTACCGGCAAACGTTAATTTTGGTGGCCAAATGTTATAAGTTGAAATTAGAGTGAGTTGAGCACCGTAGTGATGTGTGTGTGTGTGGGGGGGGCAGCATTATGACCGGACTGTACTCAACCAACAGCACACGTTACGCTTCAACCGACACGGAAAATAAGACAATCTATACGCACAACGGCACATGACACAGTGCTAACCAGGTTACATAGTCCAGGGTTTGAATGTGACGCTGGGCAACCTAGGTAAAGATTACGTATTTTACACAACATAAAGTAGATTGGTGCTGCACAAACTGAGGGCTTACAAATTGGAGGGACGGGATACTAATAATAACCGCTTGGCTGTAATCTTCTTTCAGCGACCGGCTGCCACGACGTCCGGAGGAAGCACGAGGGCTGAGATCCCCTCAAGATTGCCCAGGCCTAGACACGGAAAGTCGAGAGGCCAGGGTTGGGTTCGAACCAGGGACTTTCCAGCTTGTAATTTCGTGCCTTAACCACTAAGGATCGGGGAGTGGGTAAAGCTTCATGCACGCTTGCCATCACCTGGACCAGATTGCAAAATCGGGGATCTGATCGAACAACGAACGAACAGGACTAGAAATCTGCCGGAGAGTCGTGACCGTTCGATGAGAGGGGCTGAGGACAAGTGTCTTAGGTTGGGCTTCAAACAAAGTTCACAACTAATTGGCATTTAGCCCTGCCTGCAAGGGATTCGCCGTCACACGTCCACTTTTATCCCAAATCAACTACACTATGTAAAGGACTAAAATTGGCAATATAGATTGATTCTAGAAGATACGAAACGAAAGAGTGCCAGTCGGTTTCTATTCCGACCAAGATACTGTAGAAATCGTTCATCCGTGGCACCCTTCCGGCGTCTAGCTGCCATCCCACACGGAGGCACGACGGCTGGAATACTACCAGGTTGCCCAAGCCTAGACAGAAGTCGAGAGGCAGAGGTTGGGTTCGAACCACGGACCTTCCGGTCAGTAAATTCGCGCTCTAACCACTTGGTCCATCTCGCCCCAGATACTGTAGCACAGTAAATTGAGCCAGTTCGTAGAAATGTACATCAAGAATGTTTAACAAATTACTGGAGGTATCACTTCAATTTCGTCCAGCTTGAAGCATGGGTTCTCAGCACTGTGACTAGGCAATGCTTTCACTATTCAAAGCAGTCATTCACGTCTTACCAAAAACCAAACGTCGATGACAGGTTGTTTCTTGTCTATTGGGTCAAAGTCCCTGAATTTTTACGATGTTCTCAGCCATTCGGGCATTATCTCTTCCTAAAAAATGTGCAGATGTCATATGGATCCGTCTGATCCCGCATTGGTTCCAAACTGGTCCAGTCGTTCGACCGCTACCACTTACCCCTCTCCGAGTCATAGCAGTCAATCTAAAACCATGTCGTTGATTTCAGCCACCTCTAGGGCATAAAATCTGCACCCACAACTCCATTACGAATACATTTGTTTGTTTTCATGGCAGTTGAGAGGATCCTAGAAAAACAAAACTGATGTCTTCACAGACTCCGTGTTGTGGTTCGCAGTTCCTATGTTGATCCCTGACTTGCCGTTCTGTCCACTTCAAGGCAGTCTGAGAGGATCCTAGAAAAACAAAACTGATATCTTCACAGACTCCGTGTTGTGGTTCGCAATTCCTATGTTGATCCCCGACTTGCCGTTCTGTCCACTTCAAGGCAGTAGCTTGAGACGACCTTTAATGGAGATAAAGGAAGACTGCTACGGGCGTATATTCCACGTCAGGCTACATTCTCCTCGACGGGCTAGAAGCACTGAACTACCGATGCTCGCGTCTGATTGGCCCACATTCGGACCAATCAGGGAAAGCATTTTGCTCAGTAGCCAGCTCGCAACACCTCCCTCCAAACGACGCGACGTTCACTTGTTTGGAGCGGCTCACTTAGAGTCATCTTGACCATGCTGGCGTATAAAAGCTAAAATTACTTGCTTCGTTCATTGCGCAAAATAATGAGTCAATGTTTTCATAAAGAAAACTACTCATAAGGTTGCTGAAAACTCTTCGGCAGCCCACGATCGGTTTCGCTCATCTTCAGCCTCTTCTTGGAGCTGTTACTGTGAGCTGGGCTTGATGAACCACCAGGTTAATCCTAGAGACACATTGTGAGCACAGTTCAAAATGCAATGCGGGTAGACAATTATTCCACCGTGACTTCGTGATGGTCTGATAGTTGCTGACATGCATAATCAACCGTAGCAATTCAGTACGTCTAGGTCGATCAGAATCAAATCTTCCTGGTGGAAAGCCTTGACCCTAAGAGAATCCACATCTGTATAGACGTAGTATACTACTTATAGGTTTTATGTAAGTACGCTACGATGTCTAGGTCGATCAGAATCAAATCTTACTGGTAGAAAGCCCTGACCTCAAGAGAATCCACGTTTGTATAGACATAGTACACTACTTATAGGGTTTATGTAAGCTCAATACGCTACGGTTGCTGAGGCTCCGTCAACCTTGTGTTCCACTTTAACCCAAATTGCACGAAATTAGAGAAATACACTCATTTGCAAACTACTTCACTTTTGCGAGAGACTCGATAGAACTCAGCTTAATCTCCCAAAAATATCCTAAACGAGAGATTCAACTGGATTCCAGGTAAGTCTCTTGCAAAGCCAAATTTGGTTGCAAATGAGTTTAGCTCGCTAATTGTTGTAAGCTGTTCGTCAAGACCTGTCCAATTCGGGCTCAAGGACAGCATCGAACTGACAGAAACACGGGAAATGCGCCTACCTGATGAGCCACAAGAAGGGCAAAACTGGCCGTGGGCTGTCTAAGAGTTATCAGCAACCTTGTAAGTAGTTTCCTGTATGAAAATATACTGCGATATCTCGAATGTCGTACTGACTGGAACATGGATCGGCCTTTGTGAAGCACATTGAGTTGGAGTATAAGATGAACGAAAGATTCAGTTAAGTCTCCCCTGGAAACTCAGTTGATATGCAAATGAGTGTATTTGTTGAGAAATGAATCGGTGTTTGAATAATGCCGTCACCGGAAAACGTGGTGGCAAATGAAACTGAAACGGTCCTCTTGATTTTTTTCCGATGACATGACGGCCAAACACCAAAAGGATGATACATCTGGGCGGTTATTTGTTTACCATTATATTAAGGTTGTCTTTGAAGACTTTAAAATCCTCTCCAACAAAGCTTACGGGTCTAAATACTCCTCAAAAGTTAGTGAACTGACGACTCTGCTGAAAGTACAATGTTAGCTGATGGACGATCCTCGAGTTATGTGGTGCTGAGCTTCAGAAAACCGCTTGATCCCGTCGCGTCTGCTCGGAGAATTTCGAAACCGGCTCACGTATTGCTACTCTGAAGGGACAGCCAACAATCGGTAGAGAAGCTGCTGGATTTACGTCTACTGTGTCAAAATAACTACGCATGTTCCTCGTTTTTCCCAAATTACACCACTGATTTTCGTCATTTCTGAACAATCGTGTTCATGATTGGTGTTTATGAAGAAACACTTAAACACATACTAGAGATTCATCAATCGTCTTAGCGCTCGGTGCAGTTCGGTTTCTCAACTCACAAGTCAGGCGTCGAAATGCAGTAAATAATAAAAACAATAATCGTTCAGCTGTAGCACCCTTTCGGTGCCTAGCTACCACACGAAGGTTGCACGAGGACTGGGATACTGCCAGGTTGCCCAAGCCTAGACAGGGGAAGTCGAGAGGCCAGGGTTGAGTTCGAACCACGAACCTTCCGGCCAGTAACTTCGCGCTCTAACCACTTGGGCCATCTCGTCGAAATGCAGTGATTCCAGTCAGATCCTACTGCTCCGTTTACCGAGGATAAGGGGAATAAGGGAATGAGAGTCACGCGTTGGAGGCTATGGCATAATCAGTTCATTGATGACGAATGGTTCAGTTTGTATGGTGGCAGGGATGGAGACCTTGTAGCCACCCAGTCACCCACATACTTGACTGTTCAAC